AGAGAGAGAGAGAGAGAGAGAGAGAGAGAGAGAGAGAGAGAGAGAGAAAGACGGAAAGAGAGAGAAACTTGTAAAGTTTGATCGGACTCACTTATTAAGGGAATTAAAGAAAGAAAAAAGTTCAACAAATTACAGTTCGTTAATTAGGCAGTAGAGAAAACTCATACAAATGTATCAAAAGGAATTTTACTACAGTTATCATAAATTATTGATTAAAAATTGTCTTTTTTGAAATTGTAGGAAAGGTGCAAATAAATGCTTTATTACTATGGTATGCGTACATATATAAATACATAAGTATATATGTATATAGATGTTTTCCCCTCTGTATTGAACATATACGCAAAAAAAGAAAAAAATGTAATACCTAAGAAAACGTATTAATCTAAGTTCTAGAATGTAATCACAAAAAAAAAAAAAAAAAAAAAAAAAAAAAAAAAAACAACCGTTGAAATCATAAAAAAATTGAAATCGAACTCAAGTAATAATTATGACGTACAAGTAGACACACATCTATTCTCCGCAAGCACAGCGAATAAACAGGTTTTAGATTTCCAGTTTTTATTATTTAACAAAATCTTTTTGTGTCGTCTGTTTTCAAGACTCTGGTCATTGATCGTTGCTCATATTCAAAGCTTGTGGCAATTTCACAGCTACAATCGTGGGTAAAATTAAGTTTTTTTTATTTTTTTTTAGAGTGGCTGAAGATTTCTAAACTTTTTCGAAGCCAAACTTTTTTTTTTTATTTTAGACAAGTTATTTATACCTCTTCAAAAAGTCATACACGGCATATATACATACATATATATATATATATGTATATATATATATATATATATATATATATTAATAAAGGCATTTCATAGAGACACTATATATGAATTTAGGTGTATGTGTGTTATACGTATATGCATACATACAAATACACATACATATTCATACACATGCATAAAAACTTATATGCATGTACGCACAGACACTACGAGTGGCTTGCTCATCTCGTTTTAGAAGCAACCAACCTAAATGAATGCTAATAACAGCGATCACTTATAACTGCAGCAGTAGCAGCAGCAACAGCAGAACCACTAAACAAAAGTTTGTGTAAATGGCGGTTTATTGGCATTGGTTGTTGGTTATATATATATATATATATATATATATAGATATATATGTATATAAAGTTTTTTTTTTTTTTTTTGCTCAACTCGGCAAATAAAAAAACTTTCACCAAATGATAATTTGTAAAAAAACTGCTTGAAAAATATGTTTAGTTACGTAGCTTATAGTCGCAAAATTTAATTGTTGCAATATTTTTTTACGTTGGTGTTCTTTTCATTCTTCTTTATTCTGCTTTGTCGCTTTTTGTTCCCCTCACTCCTTCCCCTTTTATAGTTTCATTTCCATTCCTTTGAAATGCATTAAACTTGTTTACAAATCACTTCCTTCCTTGTCATCCAAAATATATATATATATATATATATATATAAAAAATTAAAAAAAAAACCGAAAATATACATGAACAAATATATATATATATAAATAAATATACATAAATGCTCAACAAATAAACAACTTATTTTATTATACATTATCGAATGTATATAAAAAATGTACGCACAATATTATACACATAAATAGACGCTAGAAATTTAACCTTTTTCTACTTAAATGTTAAGACAGATAGACAACTTCTTTTTTCACACGGTAGATCTTACGTACATTTTATTTATTTCATTTACTTATTGGACACTTCGTTGGCAATATGAAGACAAGTGATTCGGTTTGGCTTTGAAGCGTTTCTACAAGCACTTACACATATATCTTAATACACACACACACAAGCACACACACAAAAAAAAAAAACCACTTTCTTCAAATTTCCTATTTTGTCTGAGAAATATTGAATTTTCTTTATATCCACTTTTTTTTTTTTTTTTGTTTTTTTATCTTTTTTCGTTTTTTAATATAATTCAATTATATTACACGTACAGGTTTTACAAATTGTTACGGTCTTTAATTTTTTGATGAAAAGGTTTTCTCGATTCCCATTTCTCGCCAGCAAAACTTTATCTCGCCTATATTTTCACAAACTATATTAACAATACTAAGTGTATTTTAATTAATTAACAATATGTAGAAGTATTTATTGTGTGTTAATAGCCTTCTTTTCAGTATTTATTTACGTATATTATTTCGCACAAACTCCCGCGACAAGAAATTTGCACACCCTATCGTCCTTACCGTTCAAAAGTTCAAAAAAAAATAAGAGAAAATAGAGAAAATAGAGAGATTATGTATGAATTTTCGTAGCAGAACAAATTATTATCACGAACCTGAACACGTATGTCATGTATGTTGTAAATGTATGCAGCTCACGAACTCCAACATGAATTTTATTCGTGTGCTTCATATGCACAAGCAAAGTATATTTTGCTCTCGAAAATGAAATTTTATTCTCAGCAAGCAAGTCAAACGGTCGTTGCATAAAAAATGTGCAGCAAAGTAAATTTTACTCTCAGAAAGTGAGTTCTCTCTTCTCTTTAAATGCTTAAATTAAAATTTTAGCATGAGTCGCACTTTTAATACCCTCCATTGGCGGGGATATTAGTTGAAATTGATAAATTTACATTAAGATAAGGTCAAATTGGATTTTTTGGAACTGAGCCAACTAAACCACTTAACGAAAAATTGAAGAAACTGAAGCAAGCAAAGCACAAGACAGACGAGACTTTAGAAGTTCTAGGACGACCAACAAAGCAGGAAAAATCAAACTAAACCGACTGATACCGCTGAGATTGGGAGGAAACAAATAAATAGAGATTTTTCATTACATTTCATTTCATTTGTAATTCATACCATATGATTTCTATATAATATTATTGTTTTATATATTCGGTAAATTAAAAGCAATACAAATAAATGCGTATTTATAGTAATTTTGAGGAAGAACGCGGTTTTCAAAACTGGAGATCTACAAGCCTTTCGGATTTCAAAAAATTATAAACCACTATTGAGTGGAGAAATGTCGGAATGATACTGTGTAACCCCATGTTCAAGCAGAATTCATAGCTATTTTAAATACATTTATAGCTTTAGTGGATTTGGAGGGGAGTGTGCCTATAGATCTTTTTTCATTATATATAATAATAATGTCCGCAAGCACCACGATCCTGCCTTTCATCCTCGTCATGTCTTTACCAATTTTATGAAAGATTCAATTATTCAAGGAATTTGAAGGATTTTTTTATTTTGATCAAATAACATTACATTATCCCTATTGTTAACATCACAAAAATATAAATGTGAGGATTGAATTGTTATCATTAACTTTAAGCATTAATTCAATTTCAAATATATGCTATTAAATATTATTATTATTATTATTATTACTATAACCAGAGTAGCCAGAGAATAAATTCTAAGATTAAATTCTTAAAGCGCTAGCATCTAAGGCTTTCGGCTTTGTTAAAAACTCTATCGCATTTGAGATGTGAACCCACGACCATTGAGCTGCCAGTCGAGATTCCTCGCCTTCGGCCACTCAGGCGGATAATTAAATATTATATATCTATATTTATATATATATTTATTTAATTTTTATTAGTATTTTACTTTTTAAGAAAAGACATTTGTCTCAAAGTAATTAAAATATTTACGTATGTCGTATATATGGATTGTTTTGATGTTTAACACATCTTGTTGAGAGCATAATTTGCTTTGCTGTGTGTTCTTATGGTAGGCACCGGTGTCTGATTGAGAGTAAGAATGGAGAGGAAAAACTTATTTTACTGTATGTTCTTAGGGCAGGCACCGGTGTCTGATTGAGAGTAAGAATGGAGACTAAAATTTGCTCATGGATATTCTTATGCATGCCAAGGAATCTCCTCTCAAAAGTAAACAAAATTGTAATATGTGGTATGCATGCGATGCATGCCTCCGTTGATATGGAAGTGTTTTTGTTATCATTTTTATAATTGTTATTATTATTATTATTTATCGTTATTTTTTTTTCCCCCATTTTGTTATTATGTTATAAGAAAATAAAAGGAATATAACATAAAATCTAGGAATGTTTAAATTTATATGCAGTTGTAAGCAGTTGATGATTCTCTCTACATTTCATCTCTTTTCTTGAAACACGATTAACCGAAGACATTTCTCTCAAAGCAAATAAAGTTTCATAAAAACAATGCCAGTAATGAATGGCACAATAGTGCCAAGCAGCCAAAGAAATCTCTGAGAGTAAAACAACCAATTGTTCCTCTCTACGAACGGAGTGCAACTGATGTTTTGATTTTCTATCAAAAGTAACCATAACAAGACAAGTCAGCAGTTGTATTATGGTTTGATGCTTTTGTTTTACGAAAGCAAATGTGAAAAAGATGATAGCGGTGAAAACTACAAAGCAGCAAGCAGCATTTAATGTTTAATGGTAAACAGTAAGTAAAGTAATTTATTTACATTCATTATATAATGTATATAAAACGCTAAACCTTAATTAAATTAACATATAAAAAAAAAAAAAACATATTTTTAACTTCGATTTATTCTTACCTTTCAGCGACCATACATGTACTTTATATACTTTGCATAAGCAAAAGGTCATAGAGCCACATAGATAGTCCAAATGCCGATCAAGCCTCTTCAAACCGTTTAGTTAGTTAAATCTACGAACCAATTTACTATTTGCATATAACTCGGCAGTTCGAAGAGGTTTTCAATTCTTTTCAAACCAAATCGTAGATTTCACATATTTTTTATTACGGTAATGGACGCGAATTACGTTTTAGCTTAGAAGATTTGCACAAACTCGATTTTGTTTGAAATGCCTGTAACTTGAAAAACTGCCTTCATAAGATTGTTGTGCAGTTTATTGCAATCTGCCCGCGTTATAAGTAAAAGAGGTTTGAAAGGTTTGACGAAATTGTGTTGTGCGAAATAAATATTAATAGAATTCAACAAGTGAAGTTAAAAAAATATAATACAAATTGAGTTTCAAACTTTCAACTTCAAACATGTTCGACATCTAAATTGAATAGTGGAATTGTTGAGAGCAAACGTAGAGAGCGTTTATGTCAGCGAGAGAAAAAGAGTAAGCTTTTATTCAAACGAATCAAGCGAACTTAGTGTGTTTCACATCATAATTTCTTCTTTTATTTCTTTCAAGAGTAATTAATAATGAAACACTTTTCTATTTTATAAACACGACTGTAAAAAAAATGCAGACAATATATGCAAGCAAGCCTACCGCCTTTCACATAATTATGCATTGTACTTTGTTTATATCTGTATTTTCTCATTCATTTCATTTAAAAGGCATGGCTTTCAGGGCTCTCCAACCGTTGCGTGTTTTTAACATCCTGACGGGCCTTATAATAATGTGTATAATGTCACTTATATTTATATGCATATATATAATATTTATTAATACATTCATTTACATATTATTTACACATGAAATTCAGCTAAAATAAATTTAATTGGCTCTTAAAAATAACTTTAACGCCAAGTATTATCTACAACTATTACAAAGTATTTAAAGAAATATAAAGAAAAACCAAGAAAATGAAAAGAGCAGAGAGAAAAGACAAACATGTACACATCTAATACGGAGGCACACCCATATCCGGCGTATATCCGAATCTCCAAGCTGTTGCAAACATGCTAAAGCTTGACAAGCGATAAGAAGGAAGAAATGTACTTCAGCTTTCAAAGTTTACAAAGATATCAATAACAAAAACTAATCTAGATACGACATAGGCAAAGCGCGCTTATTGAAGAAATTTGATTGGATAGCATTTAAAGATTAAATTATACGTATAATTTATATTTTTCGCGAAGGACTCTAAAAGATTTGAAAGGCTCATAATTATATACACATTGACTAAGCTTTGTGAGCGTAGAGAGACGGTTCGAGACATTGAAGTTTATTTCACGCAGTAATGTCGGCGAATTCATTTTACCACTTATTAGCTTAACTAAGAAGGAAACATAACAGACACCTCTACGTTTTTCAAGTGACAGTAAAGCTAGGAAAGGCAGACTATTCGCGTAAGAAGTCAAAGAGGCAAGCAGGTCCCAGCTCAAATTCCTAGGGGTAAAGAGCACGAACTGCTTTTGAACGGGTTCTATTAAATCTACTTAGCGCTTATAGGAAGGGGACCACACAACAGACGCCCGTTCAAATATAGGTTTCATTAAGCTCATATATAGGTTTTTTGTAGCGTAAGAGTCCTTGGACCACCGTTGTGTAAGTCAGATTGAAGGAGATATCAAAGAAAAAGAAGAGAAAAGGGTGCATTAAGATATGGCTTAACTTAACTCACCGAAGATGTAGAAGATAAACAGATAAGGGTCCTAAGTGGCTGCCTTGAGGGAATATCTGACTTCACGGTAAATTGATCGAAGGCAATGGAGTTCAACGTAATCTTAAACGATTTATTATGGTGATAAGAGCCCATCCATTTCATTAAGTATAAGGGGAAGCCGGAGAGAGGCCTGTGGTTGAAAGATCAATAATTTATGGCTAATTAAGTCAAACGCTTTACCAAAATCCGAGCATATGACATTCGTGTGAGAGCCACTAGGGAAAGCCTACTCGCCATTAATAAGACAATTAATTTTTTATGGATATGATCCAACCAACCCATCCGCAATACTTACAATACTTACTTAATATGGCTGTTAAAAATTGATTCCTTTCCCTTTTAATTAACTCATAAGTAACCTTGCCATCGCTGACCAATATACAATTTGTATATGTCGCTCGTGTTGTTTTTTTTAAATGAATCGTCTTAAGAGAACTCAGACAACAGGCAATGATTCAAATTTACCTTAATATGTTTTTACCGCAAACATTCAAGCATCTTTCGATTCATTCTGTTGTATTCTTTCATGAAAAAATTACTTCTTTATTAAGGAGACTTTATGACGAGGTACATTTCCGCGACATTAATTATTAATTGTTCATTTCGTTTTCTCATCCGTAATAAGCTGTAATATAAATGAGCAATTCCTCAATTACCAAGTTTTTATCATTATGAAGTCAGATTTAAATTACCATCAGCGGAACAAACAAATCAGTCATAGCGGCCCGAAATTCCCCTTACATCCCTTACATCTAGATTAAAGCTTTATTTAAATAAGACAAAGTTCACAAATATTGTTCTTAATTTCCATAACTGTCCTGGAGGTGGTAGCTAATTGCAAAAAAAATTAGATTTCAAAAATGATGT